GGTGTTTTGCTATCGGGGTTGGGTTTTCGTCGCCTGGCAACGACGTTGTAAAACAAGCCGCCCCCCCCGGTGTTTGCCATCGGGGTTTGGGTTTTCGTCGCTTGGCAACGACGTTGTAAAACAAGCCCCCCACTCGGTGTTTGCCATCGGGATTGGGTTTTCGTCGCTTGGCAACGACGTTGTAAAACAAGCCAATTCACTTCGTGAACTCGGCAACCAGGTTACCGTTTTTTTTTTTACGTCGTTTTTTTTTTTTGGCGGTAACCATAATGGTGGTCGAGTAAATCATGTTGTGCGGGGTGGAAAAACCTCACTCCGCGCAACGGGGGATGATCGCACCACGTTGTGTTAAAATGGTCAAGCTTCCTCGAGGCAGTTACACAGTGCTTACAACTGTCTCTGGAAGTGAAAGCACCAGAAAATAAATTAAGTCATACGTAGCTGTCATCCGTACGCAAGGAAGTAAGCACAAGATGCCGAACACCCTTAGCAGGATGGCAGCTCACCCTTCATGCGACTCGCCAAATACCTCACGGCGCTTCGCGCTTGGTGATGTGAGAGCCTGGTCCGGTGAGAACCCGGCGTGCTCCGTCCCGGCTTTGTAGGGATGCGAGGTCAATGGTCAAAACGACTACGGCATGCACGACTATGAGTACCCCCCCCCCCCCCCCCCCCACCCCCCACCTCACAACGTGCGCATGCTCAACCGATTAACCTCAGTCCTTGCTGCGACTTTTTGTTTCGTGATTCGGTGTGTTTGCGGGGGGGCAGGTCCGAACCGCTTTGGACACGTCCAACTTCGAGGCGGTGAGTGAGGAGGACAAGGTCTTGGCCTACACCGGGCCCCAGAAGCTCTTCGAAGGGTTTTAATGTAGCTCTCGTCGTGTTTTGGTGTTTTTTTATCTATCTAGCAAACGCTTTTTTACTATTTTTCTCAAGACTTTTCTGGCTGGCGGCAGAAAACGAGAGAAGCCTCCGGCGGCACGACGTGGCTTCCGTCTATCTCCCCTTGGTGGGTCGTCTATCTGCCTCTGGAGGGTGGCCTCAATCTGTGATGCGGGCGAGACGATAGGGTTGAATCCCCCACGTGCTCGCCCTTCCTGTCTTGGCCTTCTTTCGGCCGACGACGCTGATTGCCTCTTGTTGTGAAAGAGGTATTTTCTCCATGCGGTTGTGTTCCCTCGGCATCGACAGCCGCTACGGTCGTCATTTTGGGGCTCGCGCGCCAGTAACCCCTCATCCCTACCCTTTCGGCTGGGGCTAGGGAGTGTGTAAGTCTCGCTTGCGTTACTTAGGTGTGTGTTGTTGTGTGCGTGTTTTGTTTTTTGTGTGGATCTGAGCGTTTGCTGCCTCGGTGTCTCCGCTTCTTGTCGACATGTCAATCTAGCGTCCGTAGGTCTAACTATGGCCACCCGAGCGATTGGTTCGTGTATAGTAGCCTCTCGGACTATTACTCCGATTATTATACACTAAAAGTACGTAGTTCGTGGGCATGTCTAGTACCCGCTTACGGCGGGCTGTTCTAGCTCGATGTGGGCCTGAACTGAAGAAGAAAGCCTCGCCTCGCTTGATGGAGAAAGGCCGCTCTTTCGGTCTGTGTAGGGTATAGAGCAGCAGTTAGGGAGGGGGGCAATCGCAAGATCTAGCCGCCGCCGGTGGCCGCGGGAGGCACAAGACGTTCGTCTGTCTGTAGTCTGTTCATGGTCGTGCAAGGAGGGTAAGGTGGCGATGGTTTGCTGCGAGGCGGCACGACAAAGTATAAACGTATCACCATAGATTGGCCCCAGACTCTGGGCAGGGCTGTTTCCACCCCGCCCCTCCGCGATGGTGGTCGATTGATGGGTTTTGTTTTGTTTTGTTGTTGGCGTTGCCTTCGTCATGTCAGAGTTGGAGAGGCTATCGGTTTCCCATGAAGCTGCGTATTAGGTGTCGCAGGTTGGTCTTGATCAAACTCGTTCACCGAGCCGGCTTTCCGGCTGTTGAATCGAACAGCTTCTCGATCCACTCCGTCGCTTACCCGATTCTCGCTCAGGAGTAGAATAGTCGCGGAGTGGATGCGGTTCAGGGCTAGCCCCTCCGCACGCTAAGTGTTACGCCCTTTGCCGAAGGCGGAGGGAGCCCATTAAGCGCGATTTTTTGTTGCCTGTTGGTGCTGGGACGTTGGTCCGTTGATTTCGTGGGGGTTGTGGTGGCCCGCCCCCTATCCCCTCTCGCACGCGATGTCAAGGGAATGTCGTGCTTGCGCGGGTTTTTTCATCCATGGTCGAGCTGCCGAGAGAGAAGGTGCGCTGACGTGAGGTAAAGTCGATTTATTGCCGTAGGATTGATGCCCAGGTGAGAGAAAATGAGACTAGGGTAGGCTAGGCTGGTTTATGACGTGTTGAAAATATGGGAGGGGGGGGTCGGGGTCGGGTTAAGTGTTGTGAAGTGAGGGCGTGGCATTGTGGTTTGCTCCATTCCCCGTGCTGCTTGCCTGTTGAGAGCGGCGGAATCGCTGGTGAGGTTGTCCGTGGACAGGCTTTTTGCTCCCTAGCTGGCTCCGCCTTGTGGCAAAATGGGGGGGACTTAGAGACGCGACGCACGAACTCATGGAGGTCTGGTTTGTTAGAGTGACGGGGATGCGTGATGTGCCCTGCTCCGCTGCGCAGGAATAAAGTTTTCGTTTGTCGTGCCTCTTGCAGAGGGCACGCAAGCGCGAGAGGGGGGGGGGGGTTCTTCCCTGTGCCGTTGGTGAGCTGGTGACATGTTTTGTAGAGATCTGAGGGAGCCGGTAGTGAGGGCCATGATGGCGGGGCTCCGCCGAAACCTTTTGGAAGCAGAAGTAGCGAAATGGTAACTAACAGGTGTTGAGTCTTGCTTGGCGGTGTCCCCCCGCGTGCGTGCAGAGATAGAGGTAACGTGTGTGTTTGTTGGTCTCGCACTCTCTTGATGGTTTCGCATGCATGCGCATCCCTTGGCGATTGAAGTTGTGTCACGTCTCATTGCATCAGTCATGGCAGGCTGGGTTGGCCCTGCCGTCTGTGCTGGGACGCTTTGCGACAAGCTTGATGCATACGCGCGAACGCGTTGGTGGCCGCTCTCGGAAGTGGAAGCTTCCTTCCATCGTTATCGTACAGCCCTTCCCCATGCCACAAGGCATTGTTGTCCTTTCCATTGGGGGGTGCAGCTTGGTCTCGGTACCGTAGTAAATAGTTTGTGTGGTGATATATTACCCCAAAGACGAGGGAGAAGAGGGGGGGAGGGGAGCAGGGAGAGGGAAAAGGTTGAAGTGGCATGGGTTTGTCTTTGTTGGATCTGTTGGGGCGTGACCACCTTTCATCGTCGGAGATTTCGGCGACGTTAATTAACTCTAAAAAAATGTTATGCAATTTTTTTCACGAAAGTACCTCCTCGTGGTACATGTAGTTTTTCTCACATATCCCTGACTGAAACGTTCCAAAAAATGGGGAGAATTGATAATAGGTGCTTGTGGTGTAGCACGGCTCTGATAGATACGGTAGGGTAGATTGCAGTTGAAGCGTTCGTTATTGTACCGCTTCTTGCCGGGGGGCACACAGGGAAGCGACCACCACCAGCAATTAATACCCTGGTGCTCGTCTGCTACCATTCTACTACAATAATATGCATGCGACGTCGACTCCGGAGCAGCAGCATTTTGGCGGCACTCCTTCCCTCTCTGCTCCCATCATCTCTTGCATACTGATAGCCGTACGCGTATGTACGTACGTACGTACGGATGGTGCATGCAGCAGATTGCACAGCAGCAGGAGACGCGCGGGGTGTTGGTCCGTTTAATTGTGGCCGCAACCTTTTCACTTTACATGTGTGTATGGTTGTTTTTGTTGTCTTTGCTCCCTCCACGAAAGTTTGACGTGCAAGGGAATACTGGAGACCGGACGCATTTTTTTTGCGACACATGACCACGCTCGTATTTCTTCCGCTGTGCTCGTGTGTAGCCATGGCAACGCGCATTCAGCGAAGAAAGCAACGACTCCTCCGTTCGTGATGTGAACGCGTGTTGTTGTGTGTTTGTTGTGTACTTCGAAGTACATACATGTGTGCGGTTGGGTATGAAAGCGATTAGCCAAGCTTGTGGGGCGGAGAGACCTTCGACGACGGTCCCCCCCCTACCACTCCACAATTTCACCCCATTCATTGATGATGAAATCTCACAGAACAGGGAGGATGCCCCTCGTTGTGCTAACTGACTGAGCATTGATTGTCTTGCATGTTTTTACATAGATAGGTGCCGCCCATTCTTGTTCTTCACCAGGTGTTCCCCCCCACACGGCAGTTTTCATGTCGGAGGGAACACAACTAACTCCCAGATAACACGCACGTCTGGTCGTTCGGAATCACAATGTCGTCCGTTCATTCTGTACGCCAAGTCGTGGGCTACCTGCCGGCACCTTGGTTTTCGGGACAGCAAGTAGCAACAGCGAATACGAGATGAGAAGACGGTGATGTATGTATCCAAAACCAACCGCCACAGGTGCTAAATTTCAGCTCCTTGTGTCCAGATTTCCCTCCGGCGCTGGTGGCGAAGACCCACAGACTTGCAGGCAACGGCCCAGCATGCAACGGGGGTGACCAGGAGGTGAAGGCCGTGTGTATTGGTGCTTCTTTCCTTCTGTACCATCTCCCCCACTCACGACCCACAAAAAAAAATCTCTTCTATTCTAAAAACTAAGAGACTTCTTGTAAAAGACAACAAGTTCCACAACTTCACACGCGCGCATCCGTCCGTCCATACACGAGAAATAAAGCCGGCCGGTCGTCAGCCGCCTGTGCGACCGACGTGTGCGAATATTCGCTGCTGCAGACTTGGATTCCGTCTACCGTCCGCGGGTGGTGGTGCGTCTGGGTACGTCTCTAGGGCTACAACACAGTTTTGTCGTAGTCCATCTATTGTCGTGTGCGTGTACTGCTGTGTACGTAAAGGGTATCCATGCATATTACTGGGTGTAGCTCGATCCTAGTGTACCATACATGCAGGACGGGACTGTCAGAGTTTCGAGTCTTACATCGGAAATGCAGAACAGTTTTCGCTAGCGAGTGTGGCGGATGATCCCACGCTCCGGGCTATCCACCCCGACGTATCTATGTACCAGAGCCTGCGAAGTGCTGGCTGTAGTCTCCTCTGCTTTTGATAAATATACAAACAAACCCGTTCGAGACATTACCATGCATTTCGCCCGAGAGATGAAGACAGCGGAGAGCAGCACGGTTGCTAGGTACGGTACAGAGCATGGAGTCCGCGGAAGTCCGAAACGGCCCGTTGCTGATATTTTCGACGTGTCAGCCGCGAAGAATTTTATTTCCAGGTCTGACTAAATTTCCTCGCGACCGGCCAATTGCGTCCGTTCCGGGCCAACAGCGACACACAATACCACAACCACGCTTCATCCCCAAACCAGGCCTCCCGCTCGCGCGCGGCTGGGAACACGCGACGAAGGCGGTCGTGTGGAGCCCTTAGCCACGCCCATGGGTCTCCTGAGCGTGAAGGATGATGGCATGAGGGAAGAGGACGGCGTCGGTCTAGCGGAACAGAACTGCTCTGCGTGTCATCAGCGCAAAAAGAAATGTTGCTGCTCGGGAGAGCAACTCCGAGGCGAAGCAAGGCAAACGAGAGCACCTGACAGGCCCCCGCCTGTGCCACCTCCGGAGCCGGAGTGGAGGGATCTCGTTACTAACATGAGAACGCTCGCTTTGGGTGATCAGCAGCGGCAGCAGCAGTCTCTCGCCACAGCTCGGTCTCGCCCAAAGGTATGTATAACTCTTTTTTTCTCATGTTTTTGGACGGTTCGAAATACGAAGCAAAGACAACAACCCGAACAAAACGAACAAACTCTTGAAGTCCTGTGACTCGTTGGTCCAAGAGACAGCCAGGTAAAAAGTGTACCATAAACCACTCTGCCTGTGCTGCCTACGTTGTTACCGACCAATGACCTACTCAAATACTGTTGACCGTATATTTCTTGGCTGCCCCCTCCTGTGCCTTCGCCACAGCGTACCGAACAGCAGCACACCTGTACATTAGCGTATTATCCGATCCAGCAGTTACCGGTCTCCTCCCGTAGCATCTAACCGTGAACATTTACTTGTTGCAATTTGTTGTTCTGACTTCTTGGTATTAATTATCCCGCACCCCTCCCGCCCGTTTTACTTTCGTACACACATCAGCCTACTCGAAGCAGAAGCGATCAGACGTTCAATCATCCAGGGGGGAAGCGCACTCGTGACGAGTGTTTTCCTTCAACCTTGGGGCCAACCTTGTTTGCAAGCGGCAGCGATGACGATGACTCAGCAGGCTTAGGCGCGCCCCCGCCTCTCCCGCCAACATTGAAGCGAGCAAAGGCGTGCTCCTACTCCCCGACGTCATCTACCGTGAGGAAGTTTTCGAAACGAGACGAAAACACCGACAAAGCTCCGCGGCAGTAGTGGCTCTCTTGGGTGGTGGGTGTATCAATAAATAGTGAACGGGCACGCACTCGGACGTGGTCTGGCTGTGAATGGATATTGATTGGTGGACTCCGGTTTCGGTTGGTGGGCGCAGTTCGTTTCGAGCGGAATTCGGGGTACTTCATGATCGTCAAGCGTGGTGTGCTGTACTGTACTGGTATTCGCGAAGTAGGGGTTCAGGTAACAGTTACTACTACTGTGCGCGGTTGCGCTTGCTAGTGAATGCTTTACAGATTCAAGTCTAGCTATTGTAATACACTCCAATTTTGCGAAGGTCGATTGTAGTATCGTTCCAACTGCTGCTTCGGAAGAGAATTGTATTGAGGAAGAGGTGTGAGGGTTGACAACAACGCTTGTCCGCCTTTGTCGGTCGGCGGTCTTCGACACCCAAGACCCTCCCTGCCTCGTGTGTGTTTCTATTGTTAGCATCGACAGCGCTAATCGGCTGACCAATGAAAAGTCGTCAGTCTCAGTGCGGTTGAAAACACTAAAAAATTGCCACGAAGTGGCAACTTTTGTGAGGGGGCGTCATGGGGGAGGTTAAGCTACTCTCCGGAGTACAGACAGAAACGGTGGCAACAGAGGACACCTGCACGTGTCTACCGTGTGTGTTTTTTATTACCGTGTGTGTGTGCGTGTCTTTTTTATTAGCATCGACCGTGCCAACTGGCTGACCAATGAAACGACGTCAGTCTCAGTGCGGTGTGTATTTGTGCGGTCGTAGATGGCGGATGGATGCAAGGAGTGCTGTTTTTGTACTTCGGGGCATTTTTGTTCACTTTTATTCTGGGGGACCAAGCGTCGGGAACACGCAAAAAAGTGGACGAACGTTTTCAGTGATTTGTCTCTGTCGCCGCGCGCTTGTAGCCGGCGACCCACTGTCGAACTGCGCCAAGCGTTCACGATGTCTATAGGGGAGGGGTGGGAGGGGTGGCGAGAGTGCAAAACGGAACAAAAATTCCGTGCTATCGATTTGCCCCGAAACGGTGCGTGCGCGCAAAAAAACGGGGGCGAGGTTTGCGACTGATTGGGGGGAGGGTATATTCTATATGTGATCATGGGTGTAGGTTGTACCGCGTGTACTCTCCCCCGTCATGCCCGACGTGAAACGCTACTCAATCGTCGTAAGCTGGTACAAGCATATGCATGTTGTTAGAGCCTGTTTCTGGGCGTCGAGGTACACACACTCGGTCCAGCAAGTAGCCTGGGACCGGTGTTGCTTCCCGGTTGGTTTTGGAAGCCCCGTGTGTGTACGGTAACTAGAAGTGCCCAAAGCGGAGGGATATATAGGTAGAGGGCAACGTTGAATGAACCAATCCATCTCTGATGAAACCAAACGTGAAACTCGAACAATGCACACCGAACCCAATGTCGATGAGGGTCCTGGTGGTGCCGCGCCTGTTCCAGTAGGGACGGCACACAACAAGGACGGATAGCACATGAAAAAGGGCCTCCCGGACTTGACCGTTTGCTCTACTGCAGGGCACGTCGTGAGCACAACCGGCGGGAAAAATTGTGACTATCCCTCCTTCCAAGTGCTTAACGGGGGGTTCGCGAGTTGAACGGCTTGAGCCGTCGCACTACCGTCCTCTCTTGTGCGTGTCCTTCAGCCATACATCGGCTCAATGGTGAATTGAAATGTAACCAGCGCTTGCTCTTGCAAACGTCGTATCATTTGCCTTTTCGCTCAGGGCGAAGCGCGAGATTCCCATGCTCGTGTGGGCTGCCCCCAGGCCAGCAGGCCAGTGTTTCCGTTCTTTGGAGTAGAGGCTATCACTTCATGTCACTTGGATTAAGAACGCCTTCCGATTCTCTCCTCGTTCGTGCAGCTTGGCGAGTTGATATTCTCTTTCGGCAGCGTTCGCTCTCCGTTTCTCGGCGCCCCCATCACACACTCGCTCCAATGCCGCGAACACACTCTTTTCTTGTTGCGTTGAGGTGTACACCCTGTGCTATTCAACAGCGTACACAGCAGTAGTGATGTTCACCATGGCCGCGTGGTGCGTCAGAGTATCGCGCTAACATTCTGGAGCACATACATATTTACACGGGAAGAAGGAGCCCCGCATACTGCTTTCCATTTCCCCACCCGCCGGCATCGCCGCTACAACCAGCCCAGGCGCGGAGATGCAGGCTAGTAGAAGCTGTAGACGATGAGGTAGGTGGGCAGAGCGGCGTCCTCGTTGTACACGACCACCTGTTGCGGGGACAGACGCGAAACCGGTGGTTCAGAACGCTGCGGGCTGAACGCATAACAATCCTTCAAAACCCCTTCGCTGTCGGGTTTCAATTCGGTACAGCAGTAGATGGGACAAGGGGGGGGGGGGGTTGTACTCATAGTCGTGCATGCCGTAGTCGTTTGACCATTGACCTCGCATCCCTACAAAGCCGGGACGGAGCACGCCGGGTTCTCACCGGACCAGGCTCTCACATCACCAAGCGCGAAGCGCCGTGAGGTATTTGGCGAGTCGCATGAAGGGTGAGCTGCATCCTGCTAAGGGTGTTCGGCATCTTGTGCTTACTTCCTTGCGTACGGATGACAGCTACGTATGACTTAATTTATTTTCTGGTGCTTTCACTTCCAGAGACAGTTGTAAGCACTGTGTAACTGCCTCGAGGAAGCTTGACCATTTTAACACAACGTGGTGCGATCATCCCCCGTTGCGCGGAGTGAGGTTTCTCGACCCCGCACAACATGATCTACTCGACCACCATTATGGGTTACCGCCAAAAAAAAAAACGAGGTAAAAAAAAAAACCGGTAACCTGGTTGCCGAGTTCACGAAGTGAATTGGCTTGTTTTACAACGTCGTTGCCAAGCGACGAAAACCCAATCCCGATGGCAAACACCGAGTGGGGGGCTTGTTTTACAACGTCGTTGCCAAGCGACGAAAACCCAAACCCCGATGGCAAACACCGGGGGGGGCGGCTTGTTTTACAACGTTGTTGCCAAGCGACGAAAACCCAACCCCGATGGCAAACACCGGGGGGGGAGAACAAGGGGGGGGGGGTGGCATTTCGTCCAGGCACTGGGGGGCGTACAAAACTCATCCAAAAAGAAAAAACTCTGACAAACATCTCCCAAAGATAGACGACTCTCCCGCCGGTGGACCTCCTCAAAACCAGAACTCACCTCGTCGTAGTTGAGGTCCTGGCCAACCTATTATCAGTTAGCATTCAAAAGGAAGAAAACAGGCAGGGGTATGCGGAGGCGACAGGCGGAAAAGGGAGTTTGGTACACTCGAGTTGGTTAAAAGGAATCCGGACATATTCTGAAAGCTGAGTATGTACCACAGCCGGAACATACGCTCAAGAGTTCCGTACGCAGCTGTGCCTAATGGGGGTGACCTTACCTACTTCTCCCTTCTCCACCCACCTTGGGGCGTTTGGTTCTAGTGTGGGTTGTAGTGTCTTCTTTCATCTACAAGTAGGAAACCAATACCCCGTTTCAACAGAAACGCAAGAACCATACTCTAACTGACTGACCCCCCCCCCACCACCACAGCAAGTAGAGTTCTAGGTAGAAAGTTGATAGTTTGTAAGAGAGCAGTGAAGTGGTGGGACGAAGAAATCAAGCAAGCAATTCGAGTACGTAGAGAGTCACACGCAAAATATGCGGCATGGAAAACAGATGCAGGATGGAAGGAGTATGTTGAAAGTAGAAAGAGGGTGAAGGAGTTGGTCGTGAAGAAGAAGAAAGGGTTGTGGGAGGAAGTAGTCCAAAAGACTTACGAAGATTTTGAGGGGGGGATGAAGCAAATGTGGGTAGGAATTCAAGGGATAGCGGGCAAGAAAAGAGGGGGAGACACGGAAATAACGACACTAAGATCTGCCGAGGGTAAGATGGTAAGCAGTTCTACAGGAAAGCGGGAAGTACTATTAGTCGAGCACTACCGCAAACTTGGGACACCCACCACCAGCGACAACTTCGACTCGGAGTTTGAGAAGGAAATCAACTCGTGGGCAGAGGAAAACGTTGAAAGGTCTCGGAGGGAATGTAGTGATGTAGACGGGTTGCAGGGAGAGTTCACACGAGAAGAGGTAGAGGACTGCGTAGCGAAACTCAAGAATAGAAAAGCGGCAGGGGCTGATGGAATTGTGAATGAGCTTTTGAAACAGGGGGGGGGA